ATACTCAAGCTCACCTACAATCAAAGAATGATTAATGCAACTGGAAGTTCTCTTTCACACCCATCACACTTACAAAATTCTGAAGTGTGGCCACCTCAAGTGGCAAGATGGTGGGGAGCCACAGGAATCACATGTGCCCACCCGTGGTAGAGGAACTCAAGAGCAGTTTGGCCCTAGCCGGTTTGGCTCAGTGGGTAGAGTGTCAGCCTGCAGACTGAAGGGTCCCAGGTTCGATTCCAGTCAAGGGCACATGCATGGGTTGCGGGCTCGATCCGCAGTAGGGGGCATGCAGGAGGCAGCCCATCGATGAATCTCTCATCATTGATGTTTCTCTCTCTCTCTCCCTCTCCCTTCCTTTCTGAAATCAATACAAATACATTAAAAAAAAAAAAGGGAAGTTTGGCAATTCCTAGTGCAGCTGAAGACACAAATGCCCTTTGACCCGGCCAGCCCTCCACACCCTAGGCCTGCGGGGAAACGTGCACAGACAAGGCAGAGAACATTCACAGCGGCACTGCTGCAACATGAAACTGCAAGACACACTAAATGCTCACCCAAAGGAGAACGGATGAAAACTCGGGGTACACCCACACAATGGAATATCACCCACCCAGCGCTTCAACTTACTGACCGGGGGCGGCATGAAGCGACAGGGGAAAATCTGAGAAGCCTTGAGCTTAGTAAAAATGCAAACTGTGGAGGCGCAAGTCAATGGATGCCAACGGCTGTAAACGTAGTTATGAAAACGTGGGAAAGAAAGACACCCAACTCAGGAGAGTGGTTACCCGCTGGCGAATGGGATCAGAGGTACACAATGAACTTCAACTGGAAGAATTACTTCTTCAAAACCATCTCAAGGGAGCATGACAACGTGGTAGAATTCAACGGGGCTGCGTGGGAGGCAGGCAGGCATGCTTTCTTTGTGTGACTCTTGGTACTTTTCTCCATCCTTTAAAAAATGTTTCATTAGTAAAAGTTTATTATAAAGAACAGAAATCATGTGAGCATTTGAGAGAAAAATCTACGACAGGCATATGGAACCTTTTGCCACTAATATTCCACTTTCAAAATCCCCATCAGCTATGAAAGAGTGGGAGATAAAAGGGGGCAAGTGTTCACACTGGGATTAAAAGAAAGCACAGACGAGGACGCCCACCTGGGAGATTTGGTCTATTATGAACTCTTTTCATTTTCCGAAAGGCAGCAACAGTTGCAGAGCAGCCGCGGATCGTGGAGGGAAAAAATAAACACATCTCACAAGACAGACTTACCCACCCAACCTATTAAGCCATGACATTCCAAAAATAAAAATAGCCAGGCCCAGCCAGAAGGTCAGATATTTTTTAAATACTAACTCCCCGAGACAGCAGGGTGGGAAGAGCTGCAGTAAAGCTCTCTTTCTCAGAATAGTCCACGCCGTCCGCCTCCTCGGCCCTCAGCATGGGCCTACAAGGAGGCGGAGCAAAGATAGCCTTGCTGCGGCAGCCAAGGCTGGGATCTGGCCTGCCCAGTCACAAATGCCAAATGCCTGATGCTCTTATCACTATAACCGGCTGTGTGACTTCAGACAAGTAAGTCACCCTCTCTGAGCTAAAACTCTCCAGTTGTAAAACTAGGTAGCCCTACCTCCCAGACGGGGTGGCTGAAGTACAGAGGAATATGCCTGTCTGTCTGTCTGTCTGTCTATAACAGATAGAGGAATAAAGCAAATAGAATAGGCAGCATATACTTGGGGTTCAATAAATAGTACTGGGATTTATGACTCCTTCCTTCCCTACTCACATTTTCCCTGACTTTCCTCATAATGCTGGTATTGCCAGTGGTACTC